TTCTTTCTTTAAAACTAATAGGGGGACGGTGACTCCTCTACAGTCCTCTGCTCTACAAGCCGAACTATGAATTGTCCAGGTCTAAGGGACACATCTGCAATGCAACCTCTACACCTAAGGTTCATGGAACATAGAACAGGGATAAAGAAGAGGACACTGAGAATCAGTTCTCATAATGAAGCTCCCTCATCAGTGGAGGGCCAGGAACAGAGAAGGTCACAAATGGCCAAAGTGTGGACATCAAGAGTCTGCTAATTAATGGTCCCTGGACAGGACCCCTTTATTAAACTTCACCCAAGGCTCGGGGACCATCGCAGAAGAGAGAGCAGAAAGATTGTAAGAGCCAGGGAGGAGGTGCAGGACCATATGGAAACAAGAGTCCTACAAGCTCCTGGGAACCTGCTCATGTGATTCTATGGCAATGGTGTCGGCATACACAAGTCCCATGCAAACTCAGGCAGACAGTAACCCAGCATAGAACTAAAGGAATGTTGATAATTGATCTCTGCTAGATGGAGAAGAGCTGATCTTCCTAAAACAAGGAACTTTAGATAGGCTGACTAGACTCAGCAGATGGACTTGCACTGGGGAACGGCTGGAGCAGCTACCAACACAGTGGGCAGTAACAGGGATGACTGCGCATATGGGCTCCAGTGGGGAGGGGGCTATGGGAGGGTGCCATTTGGGACGGGGGTATTAAGAGGATTAAGATTGTTTGAGATGTTCTGTATGAAATACACAAAAAAAATTAAAAATATGTATAAAATACCATCAAACTGTACACATACCTTGTTATATTGGCATCTATATATTTACAAAAACTAATAGAGGGGCTGGAGAGATGGCTCAGAGGTTGAGAGCATTGGCTGCTCTTGCATAGGACCCAGGTTTGATTCCCAGTACCCACATAGCAGCTAAAGTGTGGACATCAAGAGTCTGCTAATTAATGGTCCCTGGACAGGACTCCTTTATTAAACTTCACCCAAGGCTCGGGGACCATCGCAGAAGAGAGAGCAGAAGGATTGTAAGAGCCAGGGAGGAGGTGCAGGATCATATGGAAACAGTCCTACAAGCTCCTGGGAACCTGCTCATGTGGTTCTATGGCAATGGTGTCAGCATGCACAAGTCCCATGCAAACTCAGGCAGACAGTAACCCAGTATAGAACTAAAGGAATGTTGATAATTGATCTCTGCTAGATGGAGAAGAGCTGATCTTCCTAAAACAAGGAACTCTAGATAGGCTGACTAGACTCAGCAGATGGACTTGCACTGGGGAACGGCTGGAGCAACTACCAACACAGTGGGCAGGAACAGGGATGACTGCGCATATGGGCTCCAGTGGGGAGGGGGCTACGGGAGGGTGCCATTTGGGACGGGGGTATAAAGAGGATTAAGATTGTTTGAGATGTTCTGTATGAAATACACAA